TATTTCTGCATTTTAATTTAAAAAGTTTATATCTAAGTAATAGTCGGTGATTATACAATGATCACCGTCTAAGTTATGTAATTTGTATCGATATTTTCAAAAATGTTTATTTTCAAGTAATAATTGGTGATTATGCAATGATAATGACTAAATACTACAATATTTTTTTTCTATTGTATGGTTTATGGACAAAATTACACTATATATGCATTATACTAAATTTATGATGATTTTAGTTAAGTTAAATCTAACTTTTATAATCTTCTATAACAATATATAAAGGCAATACATTGTTTTGGTGTAGCTTTTTTTTCGTTCAAATTTACCCTTTTCAATTTTTATTTTAAATTTTATTTTTTTTCTCACAATGGCGGTTACACGACGGTTTATTAACCGCCAACAATTTATTATTTTTCATATCATTATCTTTAATTATTTTATAAATAATTTATAATTAAATTAAAATTAGATAATCTATCTATAACTATATATAAAGTTTTTATTAAATGATGGTATTTATCTATAACAATATATAAAGGCAAAACACAATTTTGGTGTAGCCTTTTTTACTTTCAATTTTGCCCCTAATAAATTGATTTTTTTACACTATTTTTTATTGTTAATAGATTAATAAGTTATTATTCATCATTTTTAGTAATAAATAATTTATTAAATAAATTAATTAAATAAGAAATAATAATTAAAAAAAATAGTAGTAACTTCTAAAAATAATTAATTGTTTTATAACCCACTATTTTTATTATTGAATTAACTAAATTAATTAAATAAGAAATAATAATAAAATAATAGTAGTAATTCTAAAAATAATTAATTGTTTTATAACCCACTAATTCCATTATTGAATGAAATTAGGGGTGTACGCGGGTTGGGTTGGACCGGGTTCGCCTTAACCCGTTACCCAACCCGTTCAACTTTCAATGGGTTGGGTTTATCATCAAACCCGTAATTCTACTTTAAAAACCGACCCGAATCAACCCGGATATTTACGGGTTGAGTAGGGTTGGGTCCACGGGTTGTGTATATAATAATTATTATTTTCAATTTAAAAAATCTATAACACAATTCAATATAATTTTGCATATTTCAAACAATTAAATTATTTACGTAGTGGAGACAAATCCTACATATAAAATAGAATAATTAAAAATATAACAATTAAAATTTTGAAATGTATTTTCTTTGTCATAAAAAATATTAAGATACATATACACCATTAATTATTTATATATTTTCATTAATATACCTTAATTTATAAAAATTTATTAGTTATTTTGATACTCAAATGTTATCCATTACAAATATATATCAACATATGTAAAACAAATATATAATAATATACAGTATATATTAGTTGTTTTGATACTCAAATGTAACCTTTTCTAGCACATGCTTAAAAGTAGGTCCGTAAACTATCATATATATTAAAACTTAATAATATATAAAATTCCATAAAATATCATTTCCATAAAATTCATAAATTCTAAATAATTCAAAAGCAAATAAACATCACTTAGTCTTAAAATGACATAGATGTATTGGTCCAATATTGGTCTAATAGCACCAAAATCTAACAGCAACTATAAAAGATTCCAGCACCAGCAGTGAAAGGTTTAGCAACAACAGAAAATCCAGCAACAGTAGCTGTAAAAGATTCCAGCAACAACAATGAAACGTTTAGCAACAACATAAAATCCAGCAACAACAGTTAAAAGTTTAAGCAACAATAGTCAAAAGAAGAAGAAAAAAAACAACACTAGAAAATACCTTAAAATCTAGTAGTAACAGTTGTATTGAGCTCAACCGCAGTAATGCCAACATCAATAGAAACTAATCCAGCTAACTCTATATATGTAAACACAAACAACTAATAAGAATAATGTAATGTAATACTAAAATAAAATAGATTTTAAAATTCAAACATATAATTCATACCTGACTCAACCTTTTCCAATTCAACCAACTCTTTTTCTAAATCAATGACCTTAGGAGATTTGATCCAATTTTGAGTACAAATCAAAGCTTCAACGGTAGAGGGATTCAAGGAACTACGAAATGAATCAAGGACACGACCTCCTGTACTAAAAGCGGATTCAGAAGATACAGTGGATACAGGGATAACCAATATATCTCTAGCTATGCGGGAAAGCACATGATATTTATTTGTTTTTCCTTTCCACCAAGTGAGAATATTAAATGTAGGAGAATCATCTTCAACACCATCCTCCAAATACCTTTCCAACTCATTTTTTTGCACTTCACATTGTTTTTTCTTCATATTCATTCTAAAAAAATTGTCCCAATCTTCATCATCTTCACCATTTTCAATTCTAGAATGAGAGGCAATGTTTGAAGATGAGGCATTGGAACCACCATCATGAGAAACAGGATACAAAAATAAATAGTGCTCAAACAATTTAGCAATGAGAGGTTTCAATTTCTTTAACATATCCTCTGACAATTTTTCACCATACATCCGAGTAAAACAAAATTCAATATAGTCAAGCTTATAACGAGGATCAAGATAAATAGCAACAAAGAGAAGATAATTTATTGTATTGCTTTCCCAATACTTGTTGTACTTCAATTGCATATTTGCTGTCATGGTTTTCAAAATTGGATCACTAACATTGTGCCTCCATTTATTCAACGTTTTTTTTAATATCCATCAACTGTTTGAAAAAAGAGTTAGCAGTAACATGCAATGACCCAGAAAAAGAAAGTGTGGCATCATAAAAAGTTTTCAAAAACTTCACAAAAATACGAGCTCGTTCCCAATCAGCTCGATTAGGACATCCTTTCGACTCAATACGGAGATTAGTTAAAAATGCAACATCAGCATGTTCTAAGCGGTAAAATGCATGTTCATACTTTTCAGCGATGTTCAACATTAAATAAGTAGAGTTCCATCTGCTTTCTACATCTAGTGTTACCAATGCTTTAGAACATACACCAACAGCTTCTGCACACTTCTTGAAAGTAGCCAACCTACTAGGAGAAGCCTTGACAAACTTACATGCAGCCCTAATTCTTTTAACAGATTCATCAATATCCTTTATTCCTTCTTTGACAATCAAGTTTAATATGTGAGCACTACATCTCATATGCAAGTACTCCCCATTAAACAAAGTACGACCATTCCAAAAACTCATGCCTCGATTTAAATAATCAATTGCCAAATTGTTAGCACTTGCATTATCAACAGTCACACAACATATAGACTTGATACCCCATTCCTTCATGCAATTCTCTAATATTATCCCTATAGTTTCACCTTTATGGTCAGCAATTATACCAAAGCTTAATATACTCTTCTTTAAATTCCACTTGTCATCAATATAGTGAGCTGTAACACACATATAATTCATATTCTGAATCGATGTCCAAGTATCAGTGGTAAGAGACACCATTTGTTTATTAGCAGACAACATAGATTTCAATTTTTCTTTCTCATCGAAGTACAAGCATAAACAATCTCTGGCAACAGTGACACGAGATGGAATTTTGAATCTTGGTTGAGCCTCTTTCATGAACATATTAAATCCTTCATTTTCAACATATTTAAAAGGGAGCTCATCAATGATTATCATCTTTGCAAGTGTTAATCTAGTCCTCTCTTGATTAAAATCAACAAGTTTCAAGCTAACACTGTTAGGATCATCCTCACTTTCTTTTCCAATAGCTATAGTTTTTTGTTTCTTATCAACTACCCTATTTGGATTTTTCAGGCACACTTTCAAATGTTTATGCATGCTAGTAGTGCCATGACTACCACTATTTGCAGCATATTGTTTCCCACAATACTTACATATAGCCTTATCATTAACCCTTTTAAAATCTTTCCAAACTGTAGAAGGTTTTCTAGAGGGTTTTCTTTTGCTTACCTCTATTAGTGCACTTGGTGGCAATGATGACAACCCTTCTCCTTGTATTTGTTGAACTTCTTGCTCTTGTTCAAGTGGATGAGCAACATCTTCACTGACAATTTGTGATTGTTCCACTTCCATTTTCTATAAAAAAACAATTTTTAATATAAATTATTATTAAAACAACATTAAACAAAATATATTTAAATTAATAATATGAAACAGAACAGGACTTTGCATCAAAATATATTTTCATCATATGAAACAAAATAGTATTTTGCATCATATGAAACAAAATAGTACATTACATTGAACCTATCATCATATTTTGCATTGATATAAAACTATTGAAGTACATACTGTAAAAACAATATATTGCATTGAAATAAATATATTGTTGAACTATAAAAAGTATAAAACCTTATTCAATATGGAGACGAAACTATGAGAGAGTCAAAGTATAGACTGTGGATTTTCGAAAGCAAGATGGAATTGGAATGTGAGAGAGTAAAATGAAAAAAAAAATCGTGAGAGAAAGAGGAGTGGTGACGTTTGAGATTTGCCGTAGTAAAAAAATAGGGTTAGGTTAAGTGGTATTGTCTTTAGTTTAGTAAGTTTCTAATATATACTTAATTATTATTAGTTAATAAAGATTCATTAAAAAAATAAAAAGGCAGTAAAGTGTAAACTAGAAGTGCATAAGTCAAGCAAGCATGATTAATATTAATAATAATGTTTAATTATAATAATAATAATAATTTAATGTGTGATTGGAAACTGGAAGGAAAGTGCAAAAGATCTTTGTGTACGTTACAATTTACAAAGTTATAGCAACTTTAAAATTTATAAATAATAATAATATAATAATAATAATAATAATTAATTATGCCACGTCAACGGGTTGGGTCAACGGGTTCATGGGTTTAGAAACTAAAACCCAATACCCGAACCAAATCTATACGGGTTGTTACGGGTTGGGTCGGGTATACCCGTAAATGAATGGGTCCGGGTAATTAGTGGGTTGGTTCGGTTTGGGTAGGCGGGTTTGCGGGTCGACCCGCACCCATGAACACCCCTAGATACTGTATAGATTCGACCAATAACTTTTCGTTTTCTCTATCTTCGCTGCCATTTTTTGACCCCTTTTAGCCAACAATAATGCTCTGGAATCTCTCTGTACAAATAATTCCTAGCATGTACATCCATTTGGTTTAGTGCAAAGAATTCAGTGAGCATGGTTACTGCATTTTGGTTATCATTTAGCACATCTGTGATTCTTTGATGCTTATAAAACCGCACTTGATGATGATTTGCCAAGTGGATTTGTAGTCGTTCAACAGAGGGATATAACTTGTAAAGTGTGAATTTAAATATTTTCCACAATGCCTCTGGAGCACAAATCAATCTTGCATCAACATATTGTTGAATCTCATCCAAACCTGTACCTCTGTGAACTTCCATTGCAACTCGATCAGGACCTTTGTAAACATATTTATACAAATATTTAATGCTTTTGATACTGCTGCAAATCTCGACATTGATGTGACAATCATACTTCAACAACAACCATGGGTTATAAGGAACCACCCATCTATTATCAATAGACTTATTTCTATTTAGAAAAATGGGATCACTAAACCTTCTTCTGTATTCCGGGTATGAGTCATTTCCCTGACGCGTTTCTTCACAAAATTCTTTTGGGTATCTTTTTTTTTTACAGTGACCATTCTTCATACATGGAGATTTTTGATTCAATACTCCACATGGACCATGGATCATGTGTTTTAACACCACTTCATACAATTCTGGCTTAGACTCATGTCGTGGTATTTCTGCTTTCACCATACTATCATACTCTTCAGGTTCCCGTAACTTGTCATCAGTATCCAAGATGAGTATCATATGCACATGTGGTAGTCCACGTTTCTGAAATTCCGTTACATACATATAACTTCTAACTCTCCCTAAGACTCCTTTATTAATGACATCATCCTTCAACTACTCAAATTTTGATCGAAAAATTCTTGTTAGCAAATCAGGTCGATCTTGTGGAGTTTGATGGATGCCTAATTCAGAAGTTATCTCAATCCAGGAAGGATTGCATGTCATTGTAAGGAATATATCCGGTTTACCATCATTAAGAACAATAACCATACCATCTTGATATCTTTGTGTCATGTCTCGCTTACTTCCAATAAATGATGATGGTAATATTGTCCTTTGTCCAACATTATCTATAGAAATATATGAAAATTTTAAAAAAATGATAGTGGTAAACATAAAGTGGATGCTCTTCATGTATAAATCTAACATGTTATATTAAATACATGCGTTATTCTCCCCATCGTGCAATGCATCTTGTAACCCCTGATATACCTCAGACCGAATATTATTTTGATTTCTTCGAATCCATCTCAACCCTCCTGTTTCAATCTTTACACAATTGTTTACAACATACTGTTGTAAAAGTCGACCCGATTTTAACAATACAAATTGATCATTATGTTGAATCTACATTGGAAAAAAAATCAATCATGACCTATTTTTTTACACTTTTAGAAGTAAATTTCTTTTAAAAAAAGGTTTAGCATGTACCTGAAGCACATAACTGTAGTACTCTCGGTATGTAACATTTTTTCCAACATTATTTTTTGTTTCTATGTCCCAACCGTATGTTCCAAACGGAAACAATATAGGATATTGTAAAGGATCATAATACCCAATTGTTTCTTGAACCTTTGTTAGATTTCCATCACAGCTAATGACATTTATATCTCTTCCACGTTCTATTGTATCTTCATCACCACCACCAATAACAATTGCTGCAACTTAAGAAGCTGAAGGGAGACTATATTGTGGTTGATTTGACGGACGTTCTTTAATGAGTAACCTATATTCTTCAACATTTGGCTCTAGTGCAAGCTGCCTAAACATGATGACAAACGGGTTGCATTGATGGAGTATTTTTTGCAATTTATACACTATGGCTTTGTTAAGTATTGGGTTTTCCCTCATCCTATTTTGAAGCTCATGATCAGTATCATAAATGTATAGTTGCAAGTAGCGTGGCCTTGAACCTTGATTCGGATGAAAACCTCCTATTTTGTGATAAATTGTGCCTTGAGCACGAAATGTGTAAATACCACGACCAGTTGTAACCAAACTTTCGTCGACGTGGACACCAAGTGAAGTAAACGACATTACGTGGTTGTAACTTCTAATATGCTGTCTAAAACATCGTCCTTCAGTAGAAGTGTCTGAAAATAACTGTAACAACTCGTCAGGAGCAGACACCTGTGTAATTGTCACCTTTCCACCCTTGCAACACATATCTTGAGATTCTTTATGAAACAATTTTGCAGTGCATCGTCTACACTCACTTGAAGGAGGCAGTAGGGATTTGATTGTCATAACAGTATTTCGAAAATTTCTAGCAATGTTATGTCTTGCTTGAAAAACATACCATGATTATGTGCTTTATTACATTTAAAACATCCATTAAAAAAGTATACTTATTATATACATGCTTACTAACATGAAATTTATAATTAATATTAAATAAAAAATGTCATTTAAACTTTTACGTGTGCATTTAAAAAGCGAGCACACAGGCACGCGAGTGCCCGTCTGGACGCTAGTATAAATTAAATAAAAACATACAATATATATTATAGATTAGAAATACATAATCGTACCTTGATCAAAAAATGACTGTGTTTCGTGAGTTTCAACCGCTGGATTCATATTTTGCGAAGGTGATTCTACAAAATAAAGTATTAACTTCAATATAGAGTTATAGTTTAAAAATAACAATAATGTATAAATCTAAATATGTATTACTATTAATGTGATTATTATTGACATAATTATACTTACCACAATCATTGTCATCAATATTTCTTATAGATGGTCTTGCTTCGTTGTTATCGGTTTGTTGAAAAATTGGGCATGGAAAATTTTGATTTATAAATTAGTTTTGAATTAATAGACCAGACAATCATTTTTGCATAATTAATTAATACATTTTAAATTTAATGTGTTAAAGTATAATGTATAACAAAAATTAAAGTTTCTAAACTGGGGATGAAATGCGGCTGACATGTGCATTACTCGGTCCAGCTTCACTGTCATGTGCCATCGGAAACAATCGAGAAGCAAGATTGACATTCGTCAAGTCTTGAAATGGCATTATGGTTCTCATATTAGAAGTATTATATGTTTGAACTTGTTTCCCTTTGTCTTTATTTTGTCTGTAATTCGAACGCCTTCTAGCTAATTCTTGTTGTCTTTGCTCAACACTCATCTGTTGTCTTCGATCTCTTGCATTTTGTATTCGTATTTCCCTTTGACGCTCTCTTAAATCTTGACTACGGATATTTTCCATTATATTATTTTATCTGTAAAATTAAATGTAATATTTAAAAATTTTATAATACAAAAATGAATGTGTCGTGTACAAAAATGAATGTGTCGTGTACTATAGATACGATATGACATAATGCAATTCACAATTACCCAACAATGTTTAATTATTAATTCACTCTCCATCTAATCATTCTTCTACTTCTTAAAAAAATTTCTAAAAATAAATTTAAAATCAATTATTATTATACGGCTCTTTTTATATATATTACCACCCACTTATGTCGTCTAAAAATACGACATCATCATTTTGACCCACCAAAACTTGAATTCACGTGATTCCATCTACTTCATCCTCTCTCTAAATACAAAATTCCAAAGAAATAATTCTTTCTAATTTTTTGTAAATATTATGAATATCATAAAGTTGTAATATGTAGAATTCAACTAAAAAAAGCATGCCCTATACACTTGTTTATATTGTCAATCGCAAGTTTGTCGTGAAATAATCTTTCGTGAGAATAAGCATTTCCTTTCATGATATTGTCATATATTTGTCCTAAATAAAAAAATTTCCAACTTAAAACAACAACTAAAATATAAAATGTACCTTTGTGAATACCACACTCTCTTGCGATGTCAAGTAAGTTGTCTGCACCCAAAACAATGGAAATTAAGCTTAATAATAAAACTAAAATGACATATTATAGTTATACTGACATTAATAATATAATACGTACAAAACAGGGAAGCTAATCTTGCAAGATAATCTAAGATAGAGACTTTGAGAAATAAATAAATAAAGAACTAATCCTGCTCAGTAAACTATAATATACTACATAATATCCAAATATCATATATAGTCTAACACCCACATTATTAAAGAAGATTAGGCTAGCTCTAGTCATAAAGTTATAGCATGGGATATGATCAATATTAGTGTCAAGACTATCCTAGGCACACCTGTACCAGAAACAGAGAATAGCTTCCTATATGATGTAATTTTATGAGAAACTATCACATTCTTCCGTTCAAGCATACCAAATTTTTATGAAATTGATACCAGATAAGTCAAAATCTAGTAGAGTAGACTATAGTTTTATAAGTTGGAAAACAATATGCAAGGTTAATAACAATAAAACACAATAAAACACAATAAAACACAATAAAACACAATAAAACACCTAAACTTTTTTTATACCACAATGAAACACCTAAACTTTTTTTATAAAAGTGTAACTATGTTACTCTCATGCAAAACACAATTTAAGAGGTAGTATCGAATAATAGAAAAGAGTCAATCTTAAAATCAGTATACTCTTTTATCTATGTCTATAGATTAGTAAATTAGCACATATATTAGTGGGGGAATAAGTAAATAAATTGATGTGAAAATTAGGTAAATAGAAATAGGAGATGATCATTTCATTTTAATGCCAAAAAGTGTGAGAAATATAAGAGAACGTCAGAAGATCATTGAAATAATAATTGAAAAAAAGGCTGTACTTTCAGCAATGTAATTGTCGATGGAACCCTTGTAGTAACAATGGAAATAAAACTCATATTGATTTCTCTATAAAACTTTGGTGTGCAATTAGACCATGTTCGTATAAAATAGCATGGCCAAACAGAAGTTGATTCTTATTATAACCTTCATATAATATTATTATTTTAAAAACAAAATTAATTATAATAACGACTTCATTTGCATTGAATATCCACGACACATGTGTGACAATTTTTTCTTTAATTTTGAATTTTATAAAACTACACTTAACTATTTTTTAGGGGTTATTATTGGTAGTAAAATAGGTCATCCATAACATCTTCTATATATGTCAAAATATCTCCCATAATACCTCAGAGATGTTGAACACATCAAATTGCTCTAAATTATCAAAATAAAAATTAATACAAATTTTTCTTGTCTAATCTAGACCCAAAATTTGATGAGTTAGGTTGAATTTTTCTATTAAATAATTATACCTTTAACCTTACAGCACTCAATTCTTCTAAAGAATAAATAGATAACAACTCATGTGTACGTGGGAATCAATGGTTAGAAGAAAAAATTAATTCATATTCATATGAAGAGAATAAAGAAATTGATTTTCAAATCTTCAAGTTTTTTTCCTTCAGATTTTCCTGTCATCAAACAATCGAGAGAGAGTTTAATAAGTGAATGATTGAGGAAGATGAAAAGAGATTATGAGAGAGAATAAACATGACTCTTATATATTGAATGCATAACATTGAATGTTACATCACGACCTACAAATTTTTTTGAAGTTGAATTTATTATATGTGTATTTAATGACAAATGAAAAATTGTAGTACATAATTTGAATTAAGATACCGAGACATATTGAAATGAATGCGCATGGTGAAAAAAAAACTCACCAAATATGTTTCTTATCAATGTATCATTCAACTATCTTTTGATTTTTTAAATACAAAGTACTATTTTTTCTCTCATTTGGACGCAAGTGATCTACAAACTAAAATATTGCTATTAATTTTTAAGACTATATATGTCTAGAGTTTATTAATAAAATACTACATTATTTTTATTAAAAAAACTATAACAATTGTTATAGTTCTATTTTCATTTTAGAAAACCCAACTTTGTTATTTTTGCTTAAACCAACCTTTACAATTTTTCTGTTCTATATTACTTTTAACTAAAAACTATCATTAATTTCTAAAATACAACCTTTGAATAATGAGATGGAAAGAAGAATGCAATCACCCTAATTTTTTTATAAAATCAACAATTGAAATGAGTTTCTTTTGCAAAGATATTAGAAGAAGATACTATGAAAAAAATACGTAATGATACAAACACAAATGAACCTTTAGACAAAAAGAACAATTCTAAATAAACAAAGATACACTCCATGCATTCAAAGTGCTCCAAACAATAATCCAAGCATTTATAGTTATGTTGACAAAGGTTACAATAAAGATAGATGATTTTGGGAGGGTGTTCGTTTTGTGTGCAGCCCTTCCTTTTTCATTTAAGAGAGTTTTGTACGCAATTCGTCAACATTAATTTCATCATTAGAGAGAGAGAGTTATTTTTGCAAAAAAGAAGAAGGAGAGGTTATAAAGACACGCATATGCAACTGGTGATGAAGTAGAAGATATTATTAGAATGGAAGTTAGATTTTGAGAGGGTTGTGAAAAGTTGTAAAAACCAACTTTAGTAGTTATGCATTTTTAAAAACGGTAACTTTTTAGTATTTTATTTTTTAATTAAATAAATTGTAATATTTTTAACCGTTTATGTAGTCGATTTTTGTGAAGGGTGTTAAAGGAATAATAGTGTGAATTATTGGACAAAATTGGAAGAAAAAAAGCTACACCAAAACAATGTATTGCCTTTATATATTGTTATAGATAACAATATATAAAGGCAATACATTGTTTTGGTGTAGCTTTTTTTTCTTCCAAATTTACCCTTTTCAATTTTTATTTTAAATTTTTATTTTTTTCTCACAATGGCGGTTACACGATGGTTTGTTAACCGCCAACAGTTTATTATTTTTCATATCATTATCTTTAATTATTTTATAAATAATTTATAATTAAATTAAAATTAGATAATCTATCTATAACTATATATAAAGTTTTTATTAAATGATGGTATTTATCTATAACAATATATAAAGGCAAAACACAATTTTGGTGTAGCCTTTTTAACTTCCAATTTTACCCCTAATAAATTAATTTTTTTTACACTATTTTTTTATTGTTAATAGATTAGTAAGTTATTATTCGTCATTTTTAGTAACAAATAATTTATTATCTAAATTAATTAAATAAGAAATAATAATTAAAAAAAATAGTAGTAACTTTTAAAAATAATTAATTGCTTTATAACCCACCAATTCCATTACTAAATGAAATAGAAGCATATAACAACTCCCGTACTCAACTAATATTACTATATTTAATTATATATTTAATTGTTTTAATTTTGAAGATTTATAATGTATTTTATTTATGACTAAATTTATCCAAAGCTTTTTCTTAATAAAATTGAATGATAATGATTATAAAGTCTGTATACACTATGTTTTGATAAATTACATACTTAAAATAATCACAATTATATATTATCTTTTAAATATTTAAATAATTACTGATCATTATCATCAATAATTTTTCTCATACAATTTAATGGATTATACGAATAATGAATTTAATTACCTAAAAAAATTCATTGGAGTTCTTAAAATACAGTTTTTGAAAATATGATTAATCAATATTTTATTTTATTTTAAAAATAATTTTAAAATTGTGAAAAATCTCAGTCAAATCTAAACCATCTATTACTTTAAATCCAACGATAGTAGATAAACAGTTTTTTCATTTCCTGCTCAGAATGATATATAAATACCCCTTTCATCTTCTACTTTTTCATATTCAAAATTCAAAAGAATAAACAGTTTCTCAAAATTTACGTATGTTCTTTGCTCAAGTTCTTCTTAGCTTCGCTCAGAGTCATTGTAGCAGATCAAAGTCTTTTGATGTGTTGCTTCTGACGCTCAGAGCTTTTTCTTTTTGTGGTGTTCAGAGGCGTTCTTGCTTCCAGAATAATATTAATTTTGATATCTGAAACAAATAAACACTTGAACAGAATTAGTGTATATAAATTCTCTATACAATTTCATTAATGTTATCATCAAAACAATGAGATATATTGAACATCAATTTGTGTTCTAACATGTTACTCACTCAACTATCCAAGGAAAGTATGTCGTTGGCCGTGACCGAGTTAGCCTTTGCCAAATCGAGAACAACGGAGAATGTAGTGGCACGCAAAATAAGATATATGATGAATACAACATATGTAGCGGTTACTACACACACTATAGCACCAACTATTATTCCATTCACTTTAGATGAGAAGAATTCCAACAACTGAGAGTCGTTAATCACTGTCATAAGAGCAGCCACACACCAAGAAATCACCTTAAAGAAAGTGCCAATTTTGAAAGTGCCCATGATATGTTCGTTTGACGCCAAACAAAACAAAGGAATAAGTGCAAAGGGAATCTGAACAGACTGAAGTACATTAAGCCACTCATTCAGAATAATTAGTGAATCCTCTGCAGTATCAAACCAAAGAGCAACTATCGTTGTTGGAACAATTGCGAAACTCCGAGTAATCAATGCCCTCGGCCATTTCTTCAACCTTAAATTAAGAAAATCTCCCATGATAAATTGTTCGGCGTAAGTACCAGTTATAGTACTACTTTGACCGACTGCTAACAACTTTATACCCCATATATACAATATAGGAAGAACTCTGCCTCCATAAGTTTGTTGAAGATATTGTCCTACGTTTTCAAGGCTGATACTATTTTCCATTTCGGAACCATAAACCCCTTTCGCAAACACGGAGGTTACAAGTATGTTAATGACAAAGGAGACTGTCAAGGAAAGTGTGGACTCTATTGAGTAATAGTTAAACGTTCATTAACCCTCAACCATTCCAGATGAAATGTTCATAATAGGGATTCCATGATTTAAAGATATTCCTTATACTCTAAAATTTGATTGAATATCAATAGACACACCTCATTTCAAATTTAAAATTATTTCAGTTTCCATTTTTCATATCTATTTTACATATCTATAAATAGAACTTGTTCTCTAACTTAACTTGGATTGATGACTATTTATTATTTTTCATATCATTATCTTTAATTATTTTATAAATAATTTATAATTAAATTAAAATTAGATAATCTATCTATAACTATATATAAATTTTTTATTAAATGATGGTATTTATCTATAACAATATATAAAGGCAAAACACAATTTTGGTGTAGCCTTTTTTACTTTCAATTTTGCCCCTAATAAATTGATTTTTTTACACTATTTTTTATTGTTAATAGATTAGTAAGTTATTACTCATCATTTTTAGTAATAAATAATTTATAAAATAAATTAATTAAATAAGAAATAATAATTAAAAAAAATAGTAGTAACTTCTAAAAATAATTAATTGTTTTATAACCCACTATTTTTATTATTGAATTAACTAAATTAATTAAATAAGAAATAATAATAAAATAATAGTAGTAATTCTAAAAATAATTAATTGTTTTATAACCCACTAATTCCATTATTGAATGAAATAGAAGCATATAACAATTTTCATACTTAATTAAATTAATTAAATAAGAAATGATAATAAAAAAGTAGTAGTAACTTCTAAAAAAGATTAACTGTTTTCTAACCCACTAATTCCATTACTGAATGAAATAGAAGCATATATCAACTTCCGTACTCAACTAATATTACTATATTTAATTATATATTTAATTGTTTTAATTTTGAAGATTTATAATGTACTCAACTAATATTACTATATTTAACTATATTTAATTATATATTTAATTGTTAAAACTGAATTTATACGCATGTATGTATTTTAATTGGTGACCGGTTTTGTTAAGTTACATTTATAATTATATTGGTGTATTATCCACAAGGTTTTGTCTTATTTAGAAGTCATGCGTAAAAAATATTATTGTTAGATTTAAAATTATTTTCCTTTCAAAGATGATATTTTACCATTCACATAGGGATTGTTATTCAACTATTTTTGAATTAATTTATTGATGGAGGTATTATTATTATTAGAATTTAATTGGTATGCACTAAACAATGCAAACTTTTAAAAACCGCTCTATTATGCATGTTGTGCCACATATTGATTTTTTTAGGGATAATAAAGAGGATGACATAGTCAGGATGCTTGCTGAAATTGTCATATCTTACATTTCCCCAATTAGAAAACCATGGATGAGATGCTTCATAGATGGTGGAGAGAGTCATACTTACTCCCAAAAATTGTGATGTTGAATGACAAGATTATTAACAAATTCTCTGGAGATGAACATATTTTGTTATCTTTTGATGAGGTTGATGGTGATACTCATAATCTATATCAACATGAATACTTATACACAATTGCTCCTGGTACTTTACCACCACATATTTTAAAGATGAAAATAGGGGCTCCACTGATGTTGATGCGAACATAGACCCTAAATTTGGATTGTGTAATGGTACATGGCTGTTATGTCGTGGTTTTTATGAATTTGCTTGATGTTGAAATCCTTACTGACCACAACGTTGGAAAAAGAGCTTTATTGCCAAGAATTAAGCTCAAAACCACTGAAGGTGCGAGATTTTCTTTTGTGCTAATTAGAAAATAGTTTCCTGTTAAACTAAGCTTTGCAATCACTATAAACAAATCACAAGGACAAACAATTCCAAATGTTAGAATTTATCTTTCACGACATGTTTTCAGTCACAACAATTGCACGTTGCTTTATCAAGAGGTGTTTCGCGTGCTGCCACAAGAGTGCTAATTAAAGACGAAAAAGTAAATGGGGAAGAAGGGGTGTTTACCAAAAACATAGTTTTTTTAAAAAAATTATTGTCACAAACTCATGTATTTATCTATTATATTTAAACGTTCAACTATACTTTTGCAAAGTCACACTTAGCGTGCACTCACTAGATTACACTATATTGTTGACTACTAAAATTTACTTCATTTGTTTTGCAGTAAAACAAGAGATATTTTTTATTTCGATTTTATGGTTGACCTTCCTATTTTTTTCCTTATTTTATTTAAATCTTCGTATGATTTTGTACAATCTATAACAATACATAAATACAAAATTTGATTTTGGTGTAATCTATTTTCTTTTTCCTTAATACGGTATTTGTAACCATCAAATTATTCCTCTCACATTATTGATTTGCTTGAAAAAACTGGTTAAATATAGTCACGTCACTATGCGGTTTTCTCAATTCAAACAAAATTTAATACACGAATATTACATATTGCAAATAAAACTTAATATGTATCTGAATAAATACAATATATTTTGTCATATAAATATTTTATATTAAAATCAAACTTACAAAAAAGACATGTCAATATTTCCACGCGTTAGCGCGGTAAAAAAAGCGGACAAACGGGCACGGAATGCCTGTTTGGACGCTAGTATCTATAACAATATATAAAGGCAACACCTTGTTTTGGTGTAGCTTTTTTTTCTTCCAAATTTACCCTTTTCAATTTTTATTTTAAAATTTTTTTTCTCACAATGGCGGTTACACCACGGTTTATTAACCGCCAACAGTTTATTATTTTTCATATCATTATCTTTAATTGTTTTATAAATAATTTATAATTAAATTAAAATTAGATAATCTATCTATAACTATATATAAAGTTTTTACTATAACTATATATAATCTATAACAATATATAAATGCAATACATTGTTTTGGTGTAGCTTTTTTTTCTTCCAAATTTACCCTTTTCAATTTTTATTTTAAATTTTAATTTTTTTTCTCACAATGGCGGTTACACGACGGTTTGTTAACCGCCAACAGTTTATTACTTTTCATATCATTATCTTTAATTATTTTATAAATAATTTATAATTAAATTAAAATTAGATAATCTATCTATAACTATATATAAAGTTTTTATTAAATGATGGTATTTATCTATAACAGTATATAAAGGCAAAACACAATTTTGGTGTAGCCTTTTTAACTTCCAATTTTACCCCTAATAAATTAATTTTTTTACACTATTTTTTTATTGTTAATAGATTAGTAAGTTATTATTCGTCATTTTTTAATAACAAATAATTTATTAACTAAATTAATTAAATAAGAAATAATAATTAAAAAAAATAGTAGTAACTTTTAAAAATAATTAATTGCTTTATAACCCACTAATTCCATTACTAAATGAAATAGAAGCATATAACAACTCCCGTACTCAACTAATATTACTATATTTAATTGTTTTAATTTTGAAGATTCATAATGTATTTTATTTATGACTAAATTTATCCAAAGCTTTTTCTTAATAAAATTGAATGATAATGATTATAAAGTCTGTATACACTATGTTTTGATAAATTACATACTTAAAATAATCACAATTATATATTATCTTTTAAATATTTAAATAATTACTGATCATTATCATCAATAATTTTTCTCATACAATTTAATGGATTATACGAATAATGAATTTAATTACCTAAAAAAATTCATTGGAGTTCTTAAAATACAGTTTTTGAAAATATGATTAATCAATATTTTATTTTATTTTAAAAATAATTTTAAAATTGTGAAAAATCTCAGTCAAATCTAAACCATCTATTACTTTAAATCCAACGATAGTAGATAAACAGTTTTTTCATTTCCTGCTCAGAATGATATATAAATACCCCTTTCATCTTCTACTTTTTCATATTCAAAATTCAAAAGAATAAACAGTTTCTCAAAATTTACGTATGTTCTTTGCTCAAGTTCTTCTTAGCTTCGCTCAGAGTCATTGTAGCAGATCAGAGTCTTTTGATGTGTTGCTTCTGACGCTCAGAGCTTTTTCTTTTTGTGGTGTTCAGAGGCGTTCTTGCTTCCAGAATAATATTAATTTTGATATCTGAAACAAATAAACACTTGAACAGAATTAGTGTATATAAATTCTCTATACAATTTCATTAATGTTATCATCAAAACAATGAGATATATTGAACATCAATTTGTGTTCTAACATGTTACTCACTCAACTATCCAAGGAAAGTATGTCGTTGGCCGTGACCGAGTTAGCCTTTGCCAAATCGAGAACAACGGAGAATGTAGTGGCACGCAAAATAAGATATATGATGAATACAGCATATGTAGCAGTTACTACACACACTATAGCACCAACTATTATTCCATTCACTTTAGATGAGAAGAATTCCAACAACTGAGAGTCGTTAATCACTGTCATAAGAGCAGCCACACACCAGGAAATCACCTTAAAGACAGTGCCAATTTTGAAAGTGCCCATGATATGTTCCTTTGACACCAAACAAAACAAAGGAATAAGTGCAAAGGGAATCTGAACAGACTGAAGTACATTAAGCCACTCATTCAGAATAATTAGTGAATCCTCTGCAGTATCAAACCAAAGAGCAACTATCATTGTTGGAACAATTGCGAAACTCCGAGTAATCAATGCCCTAGGCCATTTCTTCAACCTTAAATTAAGAAAATCTCCCATGATAAATTGTTCGGCGTAAGTACCAGTTATAGTACTACTTTGACCGACTGCTAACAACTTTATACCCCATATATACAATATAGGAAGAACTCTGCCTCCATAAGTTTGTTGAAGATATTGTCCTACGTTTTCAAGGCTGATACTATTTTCCATTTCGGAACCATAAACCCCTTTCGCAAACACGGAGGTTACAAGTATGTTAATGACAAAGGAGACTGTCAAGGAAAGTGTGGACTCTATTGAGTAATAGTTAAGCGTTCATTAACCC